AAACAGGTCAGCAGTCTGTGGTTCCATCCAGCCTCCAGCACTGGCTATAGATTGTGAACAGTGTGTGTGTGGAGTGCAGGTTTTATTCCTGCTGTGGGGACCTAAATCTGTTTACACACTCACATTATAGATGTATATCCCCAATGGAGTCCAAAACAGCAAATTCTGTTACTATAAATTGTCAAATTTTTATGTTATTTAAGGTTTAAAAAGGTGGAAGTTATTGATGATCTTGGAGTAAGTGAAGAGTAAATGACTGTAATGATCTAATGTCAAGGATTCAGAGCTGCCCTTGTGTGTGCATTAGCGAGAATTACAAGGGGGGAGTGAGGCTACTGCAGTAATACATTGGCACTGATCTGTGAGCCCTAACCTTTTGCCCTTCAGTGATATCTTTCTGTCAACATAAGGCTTGGCCCGATGCTCTTTGTCATCTGAAATGTGGCTTAGCCATAACAGCACAGGCTTCTCCTTGTGAAGCCTTGCTCCTCTGTCTTTTATCAGCAAGGCAGGCTCTGAGTGTGAAACTCTAGAGATGTTTAATCCCACAGGAGGAGGGCAACAACAACTATACAATAATCCAGCAAGTTGGGTCAATAAGCTAAAAGGACCCTGTGTGCACCCCTGTGTAAGCTGGAAGTGTATATATTTGTGTCTGGGTACCTTTACTCCTCCCAACACATTTTGTCGTTGTGAACAAAAAGCTCAATCTTTGTCTTGTATCACCATAAAGCTTTTCCCCAGAAGGCACTTGGCTTGTCCATGTGGGTAGCTCTAACTTTCAGTTGAGCTTGAAGGTGCTGATTTTGGAGCAGGGTCTTCTTTATTGTTCTGCAGCCTCTGGTCAATGGTGATCTAAAAGTCTCTACACTGTGGACAGTGACGCTTGTAGAAATGCCTTCATAAGACCTTCCCAACTTGTGTAAATCTTTAATTCTCCCCTATAACTTCTCCTCTCAAACAAATCCTTTTTATTCTGTTAAAGAGAAACTACCAGTCGTAGTAAATCACCTATCTCCCCCCACCACACTCCCTGC